ATTGCATATTTAATCTTAAATACTTACATATTTTTATCAATTTACTCTTACTTTTAATTTAATTTAATAAATTTAATCCTCCAATCAGAACATGAAATGTGTTATCATATACAGAAATTTTTTTATAACTTTTAATTTGTTTAATTTAATATTTTTTTCTCTACGTAGAAGGTGAAATTATTATAATATTTGAAAATTAATAATTATTTTTTTATAATAAATAATATTAATTATTATATTAAATAAATATAATAAAATAATTTTTTAAAAAAATATTTAGGTGTACATACATTGAGAAATTATAGAAAATGCAATTACATTTAAATATTAGAAACAAAAACATTCATTTAAATAGAATATTAATTACATAAGGGTCAACGGTTATGTGATGATAACAGAGCTGAACATTTTTTTTCTATTGTGCCCGATGTTTCTACAATGCCCACATCGTTTTTGTTCTATTGACTTCTCCTGAATATCCATATCACAATGTATTCTAGTAGATTTTGGACGACCTGAGTCCCTCAATAGCAATGGATCTGGTACAATTGTAAGCCAAGTTTGAATCTCATCTGGGTCTCTTTGGTTTCCTATGGGCGGAAACTCAAATTCATATACCTTGAATACTTGTGAAAGTTGGTATACGGGATCAACATAATTTTTGTAGTCTAAATGCGAATGTGAGCAAGCTGCAATGACATGAGAGCATGGATATTTGAGTGCTTGAAAGAAACCACAATCGTACCACCTCTCTTGTAGATTAACTCTGAAAGAGTTAGCTTCAATCCCTTGCACCAGACGTGGCATTTTCGGTAACACGAAACAATTCACGGGTGCGAGAAAAATTTGTAACCAACATCCCATTTGATGCAGCCATTTTTTTTGTAAATCAGCTACTAGTCTTGGGTGGTAAATATGGTCGTTTTACAACCAAGTAAGAGCTTTCCCACCGAGCTTTACAAAGAGTTGACCCAAACGAAAATAAGTCATTTTGACCAACGCCGTGACTGGTAAATGACGCGTCCCCTTTAAGGTTGAATTTATTGCTTCAGCCAAGTTGGTTGTCATATGACCATAACGATACCCCCCGTCATATGCATTTGTCCACATTTCTTTGCTGATGTCCATAATGTACTTGCATCCCTTCTTATTTTTTCCAAACAGCTCTTGTAGCATAGACTCAAACCTTTGAGGTAAAAGTTTGTAACCTAAGCCATTAGGAATATGTAATAGTTAATATGAAGTATAAATAAGTAATACGAAAATGATAGAAAAATTGGGAAAAAGTAACATACCCATCCGCACGACTAAATGACGTTCATCGTTCTTCTTGTATTTTTCGTAATAGTTTGCAGTAATATGACGGACACAATAATAATGTTGAACATGTGGAGGTCTATACATTATACCCAAAGACTCCATTGCTGCTTTTATCCCGGATCCTCGGTATGAAATAATGCATACTCGTTCCCTGGTGACAACATGTAAATGTAAATTTTTAAGGAAAAGAGCCCAAAACTCAGTGTCTTCTCCTTGAACGAGGGCAAACACAACAAAAAAAATATTGTGGTTTTCATCTTGGACCACAACCAATAATAAAACTTGCTTGTATTTCCCATACAAGAAAGTACCATCAATTTGGACAACTGGTTTACAGTAGTTGACTGCATTAATACACTGAGGGTAAGTCCAAAAGACACGGTAGAATTGGCAGCGATCGTGAACCATTCAATCATTCACGTAATGATGTTGAGTTTCGAACTCAACAATTGTCCCGGGATTGAGTCTTTGCACAACATGAAAACAATTGGGCAGCTCGTTGTAAGAGGAATCTCATTCGCCATGGAGTTTACAAATGTCATTATGTTTTGACAACCAAGCTTTTTTATAGGAGACTGTGTACCCATATTGTGATTGTATAGCAGAAATCAACACTACAACAGCTATATGAGAACATTGCTTCACAATGAGAATGATTGCTTGGCAAATAATGTTGGAGTCCAAGTTGGGATTATACTGGTTTATACCTCTTGCACAATACCTATGAGGACTGTTGTATCTGGTTAGTTCTCATAAGTTGTTCTTCCTCTTCCTCTTTGATACACGGGTCATCCATTGACATCCGTTGTCACGTTGGACGCAGTAGCAGACATAGTGTCTATAACCGGGGTACTATTCACGTGAAGGTGCGTTATCATTACCCTATTATATCACTCATGTCCCTCGGGGGCTATGTTATCATTACCCTATTATGTCACTCATATCCCTCGGGGGCATTATTCATGTCAGTGCCCAAAGTGGTGAAAGCGCGTTCCCGATAACGCGCCTTCCATTATTTTATCATAGAATATGTTATCATTGCCCTATTATGTCACTCATGTCCCTCAGGGGCTATGTTATCATTACCCTATTATGTCACTCATGTCCCTCAGGGGTACTATTCATGTCAGTACCCAAAGTGGTGAAAGAGCATTCTCGGGGGTGCGCCTTCCATTATTTTGTCAGAGAATATGTTATCATTGCCCTATTATGTCACTCATGTCCCCCGGAGAACTATTCATGTCAGTACCTATTATTTCTGGCATAGTGGTGAAAGCGCGTCCCCAGGGGATGCGTCTTACCCACCATCCAACACAGCAGATCCCATATAAACTGCATCCTAGGGGATGCACCTTACACAAGTGGCATCCCAGTCAGAAAAAACCAGGTAAAGCGCGTCCCCGAGGATGCGCCTTTGTGCCACCTCAGTCAAAAGGGTGCTACTTCAGGAAATATTGGTCAAAAGGTGTTAGAAAGGGAAAATTACGGCTAAAAGGTGTCAGTTTAGTCAAATCGCCAAACAAATGTGGGTGAATGAGTTATTACCACATAAGTTAACGTTAGTAATCAGACTATTGCTGAATCAAGTAAGGTGGGGGGAGTTCGACACAAGAATAATACTGTAACTACTCTCACTAGGAGCATCTTAATCATACTGCAACAATTAGTAAACCCAATTAGTGTAGCATCGATAGGGACAATTACCCAATTGAACATTTCCTTGAATTGGGATAAGCAGGTAGCGATTCAGGTGATGGAAACGATGAAAACCAAATTTTACCATACCATAATGGCTGCCTCCTAAAAAATCTGACTCGCAATAATAATTCTAATGGCAATAACAAGGGACCTTCTACAGTCGAAGGACTTGCAAGAAAAGACAAAAACCAAGAAAAAATTGATCGATCGTGTACCGAGCAAACCAATGTTGGCAAAATATGTTCTAGCTATGACATCTGAACTATCCAGAGAAAATGCTAAGGGTGAAAATCTGGTCTTAGATCTTCATCGAGTCCAGGATAAAATTGATGAAGCAGTTCAATGGAGTACGGATACCATTTTCACCAATTCGAATATGCTAACATGCATGTTTAATCTTGTCATATTTTTTTCTTTAATCTCTATTATGATTAGAGTTTTATTTTGGAATATCCGGGGTGCTTTTAACCTTACTTTCAATCAGTATTTTAAGTTGGTGGTGAAGATTAAAAAGCCGAACATCTAAGAAGCACGAGTATGGAAAAGGGAGGCCGTTTCAAGTACCCGAAACGTCCCCGGCATGGGGATGGATGGGGGACGTCTCGGGGACACGTCACAGTAGTGGGGTATAACATTACAAGGTCGGGGATGTTTTGATCGAGACCTGGGATGTTTCGGAGACGGCATGTGACTATCACATGCATCTCCAGGGGTAATTTTGGTATTTTGCGTTAAAAAAAACCTAATCACTATCGGGAATGAGATCAAATTCAAAATCTCCTGTAAGCTTCCTTCTCCCGTACCCTCTCCTTTCTCTCCAACTCTCCAGCCAGACAGTTGCTCGTAAGTCATTCTTCTCTTTTCTATTTCAATTATGCAAAGTTTTATTGTGGTATTTCAAAGTTTCGTTATGCAAGGTTTCGTATCAGTAGATCCATGCCATAGAGAATTCTTTTTAGGAAAAAAAAAGCTTCGATGGTTCTTGCCAATCAAAAGATGTCGTTTCAATTCTAGCTTTAAAGATTTACTACACATGCATGCCAATTAAAACAATTTTTAGTCGTTGGTCTTTTTATATAAATTTAGTTTACATAATTTTATATAAAATATATGTTAAACATGAAAAAAATAAATGCAGAGGAAAAAATTAAAAAAATAGATGCTTAATTATTTTATATAAAATAATTTTAGTTTACAAAATGGTGGGGTTGAGTGGACTGTCACATTGACCATTTTAATTTACAAAAGTTGTTGTTTCGTTAGTAAGTGTAAATGGTATTGAATTCCAGAGTAAGAATATAAAAATAGAGGTTTTATTGTTAACAATGTTTGGTTTTTGTTGTTTAATATTGTTGTAGACTTAATATTGTGGTTTGAGTGTTGAGATTTGACACTTTAATATTATGGTTTGTTTATAGATTTTATTGTTTTAGACTTGTACCCTATCTTTTTAGAAATTGTCATTTTCTATCCCTGTCCCTATCCCCATACCTGTATCAGTACAACATAGCCGAACATGGTGACCTTTGAACCACGAATCAATGGTATTACTGCTAATGGTTTCATTCAAAAATCTGGTTTTGACTGTTCCTACCGGATTGAAGCGAGAGGGTTCTCTGTGTTGGATCATAAACTTGATCCATTATGGGAACCTAAACCCACACCCAAACTAAATTGATGTCATTGCTTACATCAATTAGGTGAAGATGTCATTGCTTACATCAATTTAGTTAGGTGACAATTAGTTATTTGTCTATTTTTAATGGTTTAAATTAGTTATTTGTGTGGTGTAGAATTGTTCTTAAGGAGTATAAATACCCCTCCCCATTTTAGTTTAAGCATCAAGAAAAGTTAAGAGCTTCTAAGTGAGTGAAGAAGAAAAGTCTTATAAGAGTGAGTTGTAGTATCATGTTATTAAGTGAGGGTGCTCTTGTAATATTTGTTTGAGTTTTAATAAAAGTTGTTTGTGTGGTGTTTAATTTCTAAAAAGTGGTATCAGAGCGAGCTGGAAAGATTGAAGGCTCGACGAGAGGAATCCAACGCCGCCAAAATCTTCCCAATCTAAGTTCTGACGCGCCGCCACGCACCGCTGGAAGACTGCTGTCAGAAAATCGAGTTGACTCACCGAGTTGAGCCGAGTCAGCCAAGTTGGAGCCCCTTGACCGAGTTCTCCAAGTCTCTTCCAAGGTTTTTCGGCATTCCGGATTCATCTGTGCAATCATATTTTGTAAATTCTCATTATATTGAGAGATATGGCAAATGGTATGTCACAATTCCAAGTTCCGACACTCAACAACAATAACTACGATCATTGGAGTATCGAAATGAAGGCACTTCTTGGATCATAAGATATCATAGAGAAAGACTATAATGAGTTGCGGATGATGATGCTTTTGCTACTCTTACACTAGATCAAAAGGCAACTTTGAAGAATTCAAGAAAGAGAGACAAAAAAGCTCTCTACCTCATCTATCAAGCATTAGATGATGATGGTTTTGAAAAGATTTCAAGTGCAAGCTCTATCAAGGAAGCATGGGAGAAGCTGTAAACCTCTTACAAAAGATCCGAGCAAGTGAAAAAGGTTTGTCTCCAAACATTAAGAGGTGAATTCGAATCCTTACACATGAAAGCATCTGAGTCTATTTTAGATTATTTCTCAAGAGTAGTAGTTGTTTCTAATCAATTAAAAAAATGGTGAAAAGTTAAAAGATGTGAGGATAATAGAGAAGATACTTCATTCGTTGGATCCCAAATTTGAGCACATCGTCGTGACGATTGAAGAAACTAAAGACTTGGAAGAAATGATGATCGAGCAACTCCAAGGATCATTGCAATCATACGAAGAGAAGAATAAGAAGAAGCATGGGTTTACTGAGCAACTCTTCAAGCTGTAACTCAAGGATATGCATGAAAGCCAACGCAATGATAGAAACCAACATGGCCTAGGCAGAGGTAGAGGCCATGGACGAGGTGGAAGTCGCAGTCGTGGATGAGGACGAGGTTGGAATTACAACAACTATGAGAAATGAGAAAACTCAACACGAGGCCGTGGAAGAATCAATCCGAACTCAAGATATGATAAATCTCAAGTTTGATGTTATAATTTTCAAAAGTTTGGGCATTATGCTTTAGAATGTAGAGCTCCCAACAACAAAATTGAGGAGAAAGCTAACTATGTGGAGAAAAAATAGATGGCAAAGAAACTCTTCTTCGAGCACGAAAGGAAACAGATGGTGGTCAAGCAAATTCCTGATATCTTGACAGTGGTGCAAACAATCACATGTGTGGAAGAAAGACATGTTCGTGGAGCTAGATGAGTCAGTAAGTGGAAATGTTTCATTTGGAGATGATTCCACAATAGCAGTGAAAGGGAGAGGTAACATACTTATCCGTTCGAAAGATGAGAGACATTAATTTATTTTAAATGTCTACTATATGCCCAATATGAAAAGTAACATCTTAAGTTTAGGACAACTGGTAAAGAAAGGTTATGATATTCATAGAAAGAATTATAATCTTTCTATAAAAGGTGATAAGAAAACTTCATTGCTAAAGTGTCGACGTCAAAGAATAGAATGTTCTTGATCAACATACAAAATGATGTTGCAAAGTGCCTGAAAGCTTGCTACAAAGATGCATCATGGCTTTAGCATCTTCAATTTGGGCATCTCAATTTTGGAGGTCTAAAGCTGTTATCTAAGAAGAAGATGACGAAGGGACTACCTCGCATCAACCATCCTGACCAGCTTTGTGAAGGGTGTCTAATCGGGAAACAATTCAGGAAAAGTTTTCCAAAGGACTCAGAGACTAGAGCCAAGAAACCACTTGAGCTCATCCATACCGATGTGTGTGGACCGATCAAGCCAAGCTCTCTCGGTAACAATAACTATTTTCTTCTCTTCATTGATGATTTTTCAAGAAAAACCTGGGTATGTTTCTTGAAACAGAAGTCGGAAGTTTTCGAAGTCTTCAAGAAGTTCAAAGTAGCAGTGGAAAGAGAAAGCGATAAAATGATCAAAGCCATGAGATCCGACCGAGGTGGAGAATTTACTTCCAGGGAGTTTCAAGAGTTCTGTGAAGCAAATGGAATTCATCGGCCAATGAAAGTTCCTAGATCCCCCAGCAAAATGGTGTGGCAGAAAGAAAGAACAAAACAATCCTCGACATAACACGAAGCATGCTCAAAAGCAAGAAACTACCCAAGGAATTTTGGGCGGAAGCAGTAGTATGTGCAATCTACTTGTCAAATCGATCCCCAACAATAAGTGTATGAGGAAATACACCGCAAGAGGCATGGAGTGGAAGAAAGCCTCATTTCCCACTTGAGAATCTTTGGAAGTATAGCCCATATTCACGTACTTGACGAGAGAAGGACGAAGCTTGATGATAAAATCGAGAGTTTTATCTTCATTGACTATGATGCTAATTCGAAAGGCTACAAGCTGTACAATCCAGACAATAAGAAGATTGTGATTAGTCGAGATGTGGTCTTCAACGAAGAATGAGAATGAGATTTTAACTCTCATGTAGATGACTTAAATTTCTTTTCTCAGTTTGAATAAGATGAGCAGACAATGAGGGAACAACTAGGTGAACCTCAACAAGAGCTTGAAACTCCACCCACTTCATCAACATCAACTACTCAATGAGACTCATCACCTTCGTCGTCGTCAAGTAGGAGTCAAAGTGAAAGAGTTGTGTAATGTACAAGAAGCCTTAAGAGATCTCTATGAGGTAACTGAACGAAAAGATAATATTACATTAATTTGTTTGTTTGTCAATTGTGAACCAGTGATATTTCAAGAAGTAGTACAAGAAAAGAAATGTAGAGAGGCAGTGGACGAAGAAATCAAGGCCATCGAGAAGAATGACACATGGGAACTTACCTCACTTCCCAAGGGATATAAGCCGATATGTGTCAAATAGGTGTACAAAACAAAGCAAAACGCCAAAGGAGTGATTTAAAGGCACAAGCCGAGGCTAGTTGCTAAAGGCTATATTCAAAAGGCTGGAATTGACTATAATGAGGTATTTGCTCCTGTTGCTCGATTGGAGACTATCAGACTAATCATTTCTTTGGCAGCTCAAAACAAGTGGAAGATACAAAAGATGAATATAAAGTCTGCCTTCCTAAATGGAGTTCTTGAAGAGGAAGTTTTGCATTCAGCGACCATCAGGCTACGAAGTCAAATGACACGATGACAAGGTGTTGAAGTTGAAGAAGGCTCTTTACGGGCTAAAACAAGCACCAAGGGCATGGAATAGTCGAATCAACAAGTATTTACAAAAGAATGGCTTCAACAAATGTCCCTACGAGCACACTCTATATATCAAGATCAAAGATGGAGATATTTTGATCGTGTGCCTCTACGTGGACGATTTGATCTTCACCGAAAGCAATCCAAGCATGTTTAATGAATTCAAGGCTGTGATGATGAAAGAATTTGAGATGACAGACATGGGGCTCATGGCGTACTACCTTGGCATTGAAGTTAAGCAATAAAAGGATGGAATTTTCATTTCACATGAAAGCTATGCAAAGGAGATCCTGAAGAAGTTCAAGATGGAGAACTGTAAGCTAATAAGCACACCGACAGAATACGGGATCAAGATATCCAAACATGAAGAAGGCGAAAGTGTAGATCCAACATTCTTCAAAAGTTTGGTGGGAAGTCTATGCTATCTAACTTCCGTGAGACTCGATATTCTTCACGCAATTGGATTGGTTAGTCGCTACATAGAATCTCCAACAACCACCCATTTTAAAGCCGCAAAGAGAATTCTTCGCTATCTGAAAGGTACAATTGACTTTGGATTGTTTTATTCAGTTTCTAATGATTACAAGCTTGTTGGATATAACGACAGTGATTGGGGTGGAGACATAGATAATCGAATGAGCACTACTGGATTCGTATTTTTCATGGGAGATACTGCTTTCACATGGATGTCAAAGAAACAACTTATAGTCACATTATCCACTTGTGAAGCAGAATATGTTGTTGCTACCTCATGCGTTTGTCATGCAATTTGGCTTAGAAATCTATTGAAAGAGATAGGTTTGATACAAGAAGAGCCTACCAAGGTTTGTGTCGACAACAAGTCAGCCATTTCCTTAGCAAAGAATCCAGTATTCCAAGATCGAAGCAAGCACATCGATATTTTCTACCACTATATAAGGGATGTGTTGCAAGAAACGATGTGGAAGTTGAATACGTGAAGTCATGAGATCAAGTTGTCGATATTTTTACCAAGCCACTGACAAGCGAAGACTTTATAAGATTAAGGAACTTAATAGGTGTCACAAGATCAAGTTTAAGGGGGATGTTGGATCATAAACTTGATCCTTATAGGAGCCTAAACCCACACCAATCTAATTGATGTCATTGCTTACATCATTTAGTTAGTGAGAGTTAGGTATTTGTCTATTTTTTAATGGTTTAGATTAGTTTATTTGTGTGGTGTAGGATTGTTCTTAAGTAGAATAATTCTAAGTGAGTAAAGAAGCAAAGTCTTATAAGAGTGAGTTGTAGTATCTTGTTTTTGAGTGATGGTGCTCTTGTAATATTTTTTTGAGTTTCAATAAAAAATTGTTTTGTGTGAGTGTTTAATTTTCAACACTCTGGTGAAATCTAGTTGCTCTGGAGAAATTCGGTTACATTCCACACCCTTGCTATCTCTCGCCAATACATTCATGGTTACTATTTCAGTGCTTATGGAGACCGTGGCTTTTTTATTATTTTGGTTTATGCCAGTCCGAATGGTAGGGTTCGAAGCGGTCTGTGGACTCAATTGAAAGCCTTAGAACCTAATTCTGGACGGCCTTGGATTTTAGGAGGTGACTTCAATGATATTAGCATTCATTTGGAGCAATAAGAGGGTTTCTCAACGGCGTACTGGTGTTTGTCCAAAATTCTGTGATTTCATATTTGACTCGAGGTTGATTGATATGGGATTTAATGGTCCTAAATTCACATGGAAATAAGGGACTCCTTCGTAACGGCTTGATAGATGTTTGTGTAATGCTAGTTGGTATGGAAAATTTGTTCGTTCTGAAGTGTTTCATCTTCAAAGATTGTGCTCTGAACATCGTCCAATTTTGGTGGACATGGGTATCGAACAGAATGTCATCTGTTCCCGGCCTTTTTGTTATATCGACGCTTTGGAGAGAACACCCAGATTTCCCGAACCTGATAAGATGCACATGGAGCCATGATAGAGGGTTATAGGAGGATATCAATGTTTTCCAAACCGAAAGCCGTAAGTGGAGTTTTGATGTGTTTGGTCATACTGGAAGACGAAATTCTTTGCTCATTTCTAGAATTCGAGGCATCAAAAGAACCCTTGAACGATCTTACAACCCTCACCTTCTGAATTTGGAGGTAGAGTGGCACCAAAAATCTCGGAATAATTGGATTTCAAAGGGGGAGAGGAATACTAAGTTCTTTCACTTATCCATTATCCCTCGCCAGAAACATACATGGTGAGCATGCTTAAATTATCGGATGGATCATGAAACTGTGACCAAGTTCAACTAAGGAAACATGCGGTAAACTTTTTCTAAAATTTGTTTACCAGTGAGAGATAAGCCAATGATTACTATGCTAGAAATTGTAATTTTTTTCAATTTAATGATGAAAATTTACGCCCTCTGATGGCTGAGATTACAATGGATGAAGTGTGGGAAATCGTGCGTAGTATGGCACCATTGAAGACTCCGGGTGTGGATGGATTTCAAGTGGTATTATTTTCAAAAAATTAAAACACAGTGGGCAAGTCCATTCACCACTTTGTCGAACGATTCTTTGATATAGGAGTTCTCGAGGAATGGGTTAACCAAACCTTACTTGTCCTTATTCCGAGGTCAGCAATCCAACTTTGATTCGTTAATTCAAACCTATTAACTTGTGTAATATTCTTTATAAGATTATTACCAAGCTTCTTGTCTGTCGACTGAAACCTTTCTTGCCAAAGTGGGTGAGAAAAGTAAGTTGCAAGGGTCGAGTCTTGTAGATTATAACCGACATGTATTTCAAAGTAAAATCTCTTTCGATGATTAATTAGAATTGAGGAAAAAAGACACTTGAAGCAATTTTAATCTTATTGATTTCTTTTAAAAATTTTGCTTTTTAAATTTTATCATTTTTAGACTTTTTTCAAACCCTCTTTTTTACTTCAATAGTTGAAACAGGATCAAAACAATTCGGCATTGGAAACTCCTAGCCCCTACGGATCGACCGTATTTCTCTGTACTTCTTTTACATTATTTATTTTGAGAAATAAAATTATTTTATTTGACAGTTATGACGCTTGTCATTAAGGATGTTTTGAATTGTTTCTATCAAGAATCGGGACATCGTATTAGTACTGCAAAGACAAAAATTTACTTCTCCAAAAACTAAACCAATAGTATGCGAGAAAACATTACAACGGGTTTCGAGTTTGAAGAACTCAGACTTAGGGACTTATTTTGGTGTACCAATCTTGCATGGTCGGATCACCAAAGCCGCTTATCTTTATCTAATTGACAGAATGAATCAACGCCTCGCTCTCCCGTGCTGGTCGTATTACACTAGCAAAGGCAGTTCTTCATGCAATTCTAGCCTATTTAATGCAATCTATATGGCTTCCCAAATGTATTTGTGATGAGATGAAAAAAATAATCAAAAGATCCGTGTGGGGGAAGAACAATGGGAATTCAGGTATTTCTCTTGTCAAATGGAAAACGGTGCAAAAACCTATTAAAAACGGTCGCTTAGGGTAGCACAATTTACATCAATAAAACAGAGCCTTTATGATGAAGATTGGAATTCAATTATGTCTAAACTGGAGCAGCTTTGGGTTCAAAAAATCCGAGCTAAATATAAATGGGAAGGTACATTACCTCTTGCTCTTCACCACAATAATGATTCAAAATTATGGAAAGGCTTATAATGTGTTTAGTATGATTTGAGAATATTACCTGGAATATCTGTGATGGTCGTGAAACTGATTTCTGGTATGACCATTGACTGGATGGAGAAAATCGGCTTGTCTTTTCATACAAGGGACCCAACTCTCCAAATTCGACTCCTGTCTGTGATATGGCGCTCCCCTCAGGATCCTGGGATTGGGAGAAACTTTCAGAATTGTTCCTAGACAAAATCCCGCAACGTATTGTTGTTGTTCATCCCCCACAGGCGTGTTTAGGTCTTGATGTTCCAGGTTAGAGATGGGAATCTGACAGGAATTTCACCACTAAATCAGCTTACTGTTCGTTAATGCACCACGAAGAAGTTAACCACCAAGTTCAGTAGAGTAAGCTTTGAAAATTGGAGATTCCTCAAAGGATTAGGATGTTCTCATGGACAACCATTCATGATCGTCTCCTTACAAATGTCGAATGTTATAGACGTCATTTGTCGACCTCGGAGGAAGGTACAATATGTCATGGAGGAACCGAGGACATGAATTACGTCATGCGTAAATGCAAAATAGCAAACCATGTTTGGTTGAGATTGAAACATGTTAATAAACCAAATGAATTCCTATTGAAGCCCTTCAAGCAGTGGATGGAGCAGAAACTTTGGAACCGCACTACAGCAAAATTGTTTTTTAGCGGCGTTTTTTAGTTCTATAACGGCGTTTTTCAGCGCCGCTAAAAGTACTTGCGACGATAGGAAAAACGCTGCAAGAAGCGCCGGCAATACCAGTGTTGCTAAAGGTAGCGGCGTTTTAGAACCAAAAACGCCGCAATAGGTCAAGATCTATAGCGACGTTTTTGGAACAAAGGTCGCAAAAGGTCGATATTTATAGCGGCGTTTTTGGTACAAACGCCACAAAAGGTTGATATAAAAACGCAGCAAAAGGTCATATCTATAGCAGCGGTTTTTGGAAAAACGTCGCAAAAGGTCAGATATATAGCGGCATATTTGGATACAAACGTCGCTAATTTCCTTTTTTAGCTTAAATTAATTGATTTTGCATATTTCATTTATGCAATACATCACCTAAATTTAATATCATGTAGTTTTATCTAATTAACAACAACCATAAAATTTAATTAAGACACACATTATGCAGAAAAATACTTAACAACAAAATAAATTAAAATTTATAAACATTACAATTAAATGTAATGTAGTTTGACATTATTCTCTAGAATTTAGTCTAGGTTCTTTCACTTTCAATTAAAAAAATATTGTTCACCCATGTAGGCCAACATTCAACAATAACCCGACACCACTTGCTGCATTTTTCTGCTCAACATTCAGAACCGAGTTGTGACGCTGCTCCACATACAACGTCGTAGTTGACTCACAAATAGCTCCTGATTTGAATTTTGGTTTTGGCTTTGCATGGATTCCGATATAAAGCCTGTGTTAAGAACATAAGATTGTGAGACCTGCATAGTTGTGCATCACTCATACCATCTTTGGTCCTTCCTATTTAAATCGGTTCACAAAACAATAGATGCTCTTATATGATGTTAAACTATAATATTATCTATCTGCAAGGCATAATAGAATAAGATTGAAAGCTGATCGTCCGTTTGTAGAAAAAGTAGAACAACTAAAGTAATATACAGAATGTGAAGTCATTCCAACTAGACGAGTTTGTGACCTTCCAACTGAAGGTCCTATATTCTCACATCGCAAAATATTAAAATAATTGTTGGAAATCCTTAAATTAAGGAGATTCTCTACCTTAGTACTAGGAATTTCCTTGTAAATATTAGTCATGATCTAATTACTAATTTTTAGGGATAGGCTTATTATTAGAGATTATTTTCATTTGATCCTACTCATTTGTCTCTCTCTCTTCCCTAAACATTTTTTTTATTTTTTTATTCTCTCATGGGTGATATCAATGAAACCCTCTCTAATTTCGGTTCAAATAGGCCATGGTGTAGCCACTGTAACCGGGTTGGACATACCAAGGAGAAATGCTTTAAACTCCATGGTTATCCTGGAAAAAATCAGAAAGAAAACAAGGCAGCAATGATATCTACTACTGAAGAAGATGCCCAGGATGTTCGGCTCACCAAAACTCAACTTGAGGCTCTTCATAAACTCATCGGGACTCCTACAACCATTGGATCACTAGCTATTCAATGTACTGCCTTAAATACTACACATGAACCAATCTGGATACTAGATTCAGGTGCATCCAACCACATGACAGGTAATATAAGGTTGTTTCACACATATTTACCTTGTCATGATCACTCCCGGATTCGCATAGCTAATGGATCTTACTCCTCGGTGGCTGGAATTGGAACGATCAGACTCACTGAAAATTTTTACATTGATAAAGTTTTATATGTTCTAAATCTTTCTTGTAATTTACTCTCAATTAGCAAGCTTACCAAGGATGAGAAAGTACTTGTTGAATTTTTTGTTTTCGGTTGTGTGGTTCAGGAACAGGAATCGAGGAAGATGATTGACACTACTAAAGTTGATGATGGCTTATATATTTGGAATAAAAATAGTTCACGAGAAGGGATGTCCTTATCTACATCGAAAGAAGAATCTATCATGCTATGGCACCGTAAACTAGGGCACCCTAATTTTACGTACTTGAAAAAACTGTTTCCTCTATTATTTCTAAATAAGAAAATAAGTTCCTTGAATTGTGAAGTTTGCCAACTGTCTAAACATACTCGTGTCCCTTATCCTTTGAAACCTTATGTTCAATCTCAACCTTTCTCTTTAATCCACAGTGATCTATGGGGAGCCAGTCGAGTAAAAAATGTCACAGGGGCTAGGTGGTTCATAACATTCATTGATGACCACACTAGAGTTTGTTGGATCTATCTTCTCAAAGAAAAACCGAAGTCTCTAGAGTCTTCCAAAGTTTTCATTCAATGATTCAAACTCAGTTCAATTCTAAAATTCATACCCTTAGAACTGATAATGGGAGAGAGTACTTCAATTCTATCCTAAGCTCTTATCTTTCTGAGCAAGGAATCATACATCAGAGTTCTTGTTCTGACACCCCTCAATAAAATGGGGTTTTCGAGAGGAAAAACATACACCTTTTAGCCGTGGCTCGTGCTCTTATGTTTACTATGGGTGTACCGAAGTATTTATGGGGAGAAGCTGTTCTCACTGCTTGTTATCTTATAAACCGACTCCCATCAAAGGTATTAAACTTTCAAACACCTTTACATACCTCTTCAAAATATTTCCCTTGTTTCGTGTTCCTAATCTCCCAACCAAAACTTTCGGTTGCAAAGCATTTGTCCACAATCATCAACCTAACCGATCTAAACTTGATCCTAGAGCTCACACTTGTGTCTTTCTTGGATACTCACATACACAAAAGGGGTACAAGTGTTATTCTCCAACCCTACACCGGATGTTTGTGTCCCTTGATGTTACTTTCTTCGAAAACGAGACATATTTTTTAGCCTCTCATCTTCAGGGGGAGATATTTAGTGAAGATGAGACATTGAACAACCTTCTCATTATACCTCAAGACTCTATCAATCCTACCACCACTACTGAAAATCCTACAGCCACTGCTGAAAGTCCTACAACCATTTTAATTCCTGATTTGGACCCCGTTTTACTCGACTCCACTGTGCAACAACAAGAAACAAGGGCGATTAATCATACAAATGAAGAAAAATAACCCTCTCTTTCTGAAAAACAACAAGAAAAAACTCAGCAGCTTCGTGTATATTCTCGGAAACATCAGCTGCCAGAAACTGAAACAACAGTGCCAATGCCATCTTTACCCGAGGACTGTCCTGAGGAAGAAGTCTCACCTCCTTCGCTTCCATCTATCTTCCAATTGTAATCAGAAAGGGCACGAGAAGCTGCACTCAACATCCCATTTCTCAGTTTGTATCATATGGGAACTTGTTTAAATCCTACAATGCCTTTATTTCTAATATTGACTCTGTAGAAACTCCAAAGAACATAGAAGAGGCTCTTAAGTCAACCAAATAGAAGCAAGCCGTGTTGGAAGAAATAAAGGCTCTTGAAGATAATAAAACGTGGGAAATATCTAAACTACCTACTGGAAAGAAGACCGTGGGTTGTAAGTGGATTTTCACTACGAAAGTTAAACCAGATGGGAGCATTGATCGATACAAGGCTAGACTTGTGGCCAGGGGTTTCATTCAAACATATGGGTTGGACTACGAGGAAACATTTGCACCAGTGGCCAAACTAAATACTATTCGAGTGCTGTTCTCAATTGCTGTCAATTTAGATTGACCTTTGATCCAATTGGATGTAAAGAATGTTTTTCTCAATGGAGAATTAAACGAAGAAGTCTACATAGATTTTCCGCCCGGATTCGAATGAAGCAAGGGCCAAGTATGCAAGTTGAAGAAGTCTTTGTATGGACTAAAGCAATCCCCCAGGGCTTGGTTTAATCATTTTGCCAAAGCCATGACGAGTAGACAGTATATTCAAGGTCAAGCTGATCACACCTTATTCTACAAACACTCGGCTAATGGGAAGTGTTGTCTTCTCATTGTATGCGTTGATGACATAATATTGACAGGAGATGACTCTATTGAAATTGAAAGACTAAAAGAATTCTTAAGTCTTGAGTTTCAACTTAAAGACTTGGGGAATCTTAGATATTTTCTTGGAATGGAGATAGCAATGTCAAAGGCAGGTATTTCAATCTCTCAAAGAAAGTTTGTTCTTGATCTACTTTCTGAAGTTGGACTGTTGGGTTGCAAACCTGCTGAGACTCTCATGGAACCCAACCTTAAATTAGGAACTGATAAGGATGGAGAAGAGGTAGACAGGGGGAGATATCAAAGGTTAGTGGGAAAACTTATCTATCTTTCTCATACTCGTCCAGACATAGCGTTTGGAGTAAGTGTTATTAGTCAATTTATGCATGCTCCTAGGGAGAAACATTTGGAAGCTGCCTACAGGATATTGAGATATTTAAAAGGGACTCCGGGTAAGGGGTTGCATTTCAAGAAAAATGTAAATCGAAGCATAGAAGTCTACATTGATGCAGACTGGGCAGGTGCTATTAATGACAGGCGCTCCACAAGTGGTTATTGTAGCTATGTTTGGGGTAATCTCATGACATGGAGGAGTAAAAAGCAGTCGGTTGTGGCACGCAGCAGTGCTGAAGCTGAGTATCGAGCTCTGTCCCAAGGTATATGTGAAGGAATGTGGCTACAACGGCTAATGGGAGATCTAAAACTATCCTATACAACACCTATAATACTGAATTGTGACAACCAGACAGCAGTTAATATAGCTCACAACCCTGTACACCATGACCGCACCAAGCATGTGGAAATCGATCGCCACTTCATTACAGAGAAAATTAACAAAGGAGAAGTTTGTGTTTCATATCTACCTACTCGACAACAAGTAGCAGATGTGTTAACCAAGAGCTTGAGCAGAAAAAGGTTCGAAGAAAATTATGGGCAAGCTAGGTTCGATTGACATCTACACTCCAGCTTGAGGGGGAGTGTTGGAAATCCTTAAATTAAGGAGACTCTCTACCTTAGTTCTAGGAATTTCCTTGTAAATATTAGTCATGATCTAATTACTGATTTTTAGGGATAGGCTTATTATTAGAGATCATTTCCTTGTAAATATTAGAGATTATTTCCTTTTTTATTTTTTTCTGCTATGTTAAAAAGGGTGTACTCCTATTCGAAGAAATAAGAGACTTTTCTTCTTCCTAAATTTGTTCAATAACGAATAAATTTGTTAGGTATAGATGGGTTAGGCAAGCCACACCTGGCATGCCGGGCATACTCATCATAATTTTCAAGCAGCATCTTGCCAGCCTGTTCATTTAGAGTTGATTCTGGAAATGGTTCAATCAATAAACACCTAACTACCTGCTGTGGCAAGGAAGATAAAAGACATGAATCTAAAGTTCTACAGCAGAATTACCGAAAGAAATTTGCAGTCCTTTGCGGTTCTTATCAAACAAACTGATAAAAAATACAAGAATCAAGTATGGGTCCGATGGAACTTACAATGAGGACATGTCGTAATCCAAGACTTGGATTCCAATCCTTTTTTAGAGTGTTTACGCAAATTTCACCATTGGTCGCAATATTTGGATGAAAAATCTTTGTCAGGAAGTAGCCTGCAGTACCCAAGGACTTCATAATATTCACTATTGCTTGGTAACTAAAAAATCCAAGATGATTCACATGACCCAGTTTTGAATTTTTCTAGCTCATAGCAGCGTTGAAATCTAACTATGCTTGGATTACTATAATAACTTATAAAACACGCCTATTAAACGCAACTGCAAGCAATGAAGTTGCGTTATTATACTTCAGAAGTCCGAATGGCATGATCCAGTTTTGAAATTTTCTAGCTCATAGCAGTGTTGAAATCTAATTATGTCTGGATTACTATAATAACCTATAAAACATACCTTTTGGAGGAGAATGAGGGAAATCACGAGACAATAATAACTTCATACGGAAAACACCATTTTCATATGGAGTCCCAGATGCAAAGCCGAAATTATTCTCAGTAAATGGAAGAGTAACAAGCATGCTGCAAAGGAAGTAAATTTGTCTGGAGAGAATTACTTGCCTGGCCCTTCAATGTCGGCATAAATGATTGAAAAGTCATCATCATTTACACCCGCTCCAGAAATATAACTGTCTGGAATGCCTTCCATTTTGGTTCTAAAGCAGCATCCTAAAGCACAGAAAAAGATACAAACAAGAAAGCCATAAAAGGTTGCAACTATGATGGAAACATTTGAGCTCTAAATAAAAAAAATCGTTAGAATATGTTAAGGTTCAAGAAGATAATAATATATAACAAGCAAAACATATCATACCTTATACTTATCCTTGACATCGGAGACAGAAAAGGCTATGTCAAACTGAGATTTCTCATTAGGTGTTGACAACTAGTTGAGAGCATAAAAATTTAAAGCTGATCAGTTGATGGGATCCTCAACTTCACAAATACCATGAACTCAAAAATTATATATAAGAATTAACTACACAAACTGACTCATTCTTTTTTGGTGAATCCATGCATGGTATAGTTAGTCCACAAGCAATTAGGCAGGCTTCGAATTTGGAACTAATAATAACTGATTACAATGTTATTTCCTTTATTTATTCTTTGAGCTTCTCAACATACAATAAATGCGATAAAAGGTAACCCACACTTAACTTCCCTCCACTTCAATATCTTATTTGTATTTATATGTTCTCTGTATAGTGAGCATGATATGACATAAAATATTATAGATAAATGATAATAAGCAGGGTTTTAAAAAACAGTCTGCGACCGCGATTTCGGCCGCGATATAGCGGTTTTGCCGCCATCCGAATTACCCGCGACGACCGCAATAGCGTCCGCGACAGCCGCAATAGCGCCCACGACGGCCGCAATCACGGTAAATCCGAAATAACCAAAAACGCGACCGCGATTTGAAACCCTGATAATAAGTGCAATGCAAAGAACACACCAGGAAAAGTGGTTCTACTTTTGTTCTTTTCCTTTTTAAAGGTCTCTATATCACACAAGAAAGTGGAAAGTGATACTCTCGTACCTTAATTTTCTTTGAAATGCTTCTCTTATTCAATTTCTTCTTCTTGTTGTTTTCTTTCCCTTTCATCTTCTTTTCCCTGCAACTGTTAATGAAATCAATACACTAACAAAATTGAAAGTGGAAAACCATAAGTTTATTTTTTTGGGGGGGAGAGGTTCCCCACCTTAAAAAATACACCTAAAGCATCTATTCTTCATCTCAACGAAAAAGGAAAGAAGGAAAACAAAAAATCATATTCACATTACCAAGTGAGGACAACGTAGCAACATTTTATCAGCAACCCAATCTATGTGAAAACCATGGAAAGGCAAAACACAGGAACTGTGTATGACTACAATTACATTCCATACAAATCTAGTAAAGGTTCCAGAATGTTCAATTCCGGGGGGATTCCAACAAAAAGTTCCATTTTCAAACTTTTTCTTAGCTCTAGATGGATTATGTTCATTTCTAACAATAGTCTCCCCATCCGCATACAAAGCAATCTCCTCGCCTAGACGAATTTCCCTCTGACTACATCCATAAAAGCAATCAAAGCCTTCATTGAACAATTAAATAAACAAAATACTCAAAGCAAGTAAAAAAATAATAACAATATACCTAAGAGGACGGAACCGAACTATAAAGGTGACATTTTCCTTGGATCGGTCAGTATCCACATGCAAATTCTCAGAGTAACTATATTGTGGCTTGCTTCGAGCCGATGAAGATGCTGGTGAGCTCTGGCAATCGATAGAAGTTTCTAGAAATTGTTTGGATGATGAAGTTGTTGAAGATGAAGGTGAATTTATAGCCTTTCAGTTGCTTGAACCTAATTTCTTCGTTTTTGATCCTCTTCTCGACGACATTTTCACCTCACTAAGGAATTCTCGCTTCTACACACAAGAAACACAAAAACGAAAGGGGGAAAAAGCAACTCAAAATTAGAAAAATAAAATAAAAAAGTGAAGCTAAAAAGATAGAAATTAATTACGGAAATAGCTACATTGTCATAAAATTGATTAACATAAGATGAAATTTAAAGCAATTTCCATTTCCTAAAAAGAAAATTTTTAGTATTTCTTTTCACTTAAATTTTTAAATAAAGCTTACCCATATCTTGATTCCTTCCACCATTAAAAATAAAACAAAGAATTAATGGAGAATGAAGCTTACCCATATATACTGTGTATAAAAGAACAAGGGCTGAGCTTGAAATTAGCGGTGCTCCAAAGCCAAGAAAGAGAGAGAGAGAATGGAAAACTTAGAAAGATACTATGAGATATTACCAGAGGGATATGCCAAATGTGAAGGGAGAAGAACACACCAGGAATGGTGTTGGAAGCGACAACGTTGGAGGCGAAGAAGGTTGGGCGCAGTGAAGGAGATGCCTACTGTAGTTTTGTGGGTAAGTTGTAAACGGCGGAAAGTAGACAAAAAAAGGAAGATGAAAAATGACTAGGGCTAGAGGAGATTTAAAACTGACTTTGCGGCGTTTAACAATACAAACGCCACTACAGTGTAACCAATTGTGGCATTTTTAATTAAAAACACCACTAATGTTAAAAACATTTGCGACGTTTACTGAAAAAAGGCACTATATATAATTTTATTGCGGCATTTTTTTGTAAAACACCATTAAAGTACGATTCATTTGCGGCGTTTGTTACCAAAATGCCGCTAAAGTTATAATTTGTTGCGGCGTTTATTAAAAACGCCACTATAGGTTAACCCTATTACGACGCCGCTAAAGTCCTAATCTGTTGCGGCGTTTATTGAAAAAAATGCCACTATAGATAGACCTGTTGCGGTGTTTATTGAAAAAAATGCCACTATATATGAACCCTAAAGCGACATTTTCTAAAGTTATCATTTTATGACGTTTAGAATGTAAATGCCGCTATATGTTGAAACTTAGTGGCGTTTACTCTCAAAACGCCGCTAAAGAACAATTTTGCTTGCAATAATGAAATTGGTCTCTGAAATTTGCTGTCATTTGTTGGTAATTGTAGAAGCATAGGTGTAGTTTATTATTTGACCCTAACTACATGCTGAAACTTAGTGGCGTTTAATCTCAAAATGCCGCTAAAGAACAGTTTTGTTGTAATGTAGGTCAGTTTGCTTGCAATAATGAAAATTGGTCTCTGAAATTGCTGTCATTTGTGGGATCGAGTCCCACGGAGGGCATTTCATAATTCGGAGGTCTCTTATGGAAGCTGTTCTCAACCTGGTGTTGGGGGTAGCCTACTATCTTACCTCCCCTTACCCCATACATATGGGAAAAAGGGACAGCCATTTTTTTGTAGAAGCATAGGTGTAGTTTATTATTTGACCCTAACTACATGCAAAAGGAGGACCTCATCACTCGAAACGAAAGAATGCTTGAGTAAATTGTAGCAGCCAACGTGATGACAATGGGTACTACTCCTATAGCGTTTATCACTCCTTTATTCTGGAAACGTCCACCGATTGGTTGGGTTAAGGCGAATGTAGATGGGGAGATGAGACCTAAAGATAATATGGCAGCTGGTGGTGGTTTGTTACGTAACTCCAAGGGTGATTGGATCTATGGTTTCACACGTGCTTTGGGAAGATGTTCTGCTCTTGTTGCCGAGCTATGGGTTGTCCATGACATTACTTTGCATGCTTGGAGGTTAGGATTCCCAGAAATTGAAGTGGAAACGAATAATCTTGAAGTTACAAAAATATGGAACCATTCTTCAGAAGCTCTCAGGGGAAGAGCTTTGATCGACGCCATTTATAAACTTAGAGATCAGGATTGGAATACGGTATTCCGACATGTACGCCGTGAACAGAATACTGCTGATGTTCTAGCAACCTTGAGCCGCGGTTCTGATTTGGAAGTTACACGTTTCACACATCCGCCTGATAATATGCATGTTATCTTGTAGAAAGACTACGTTCAATCTAGTTAAATTTCAATTTCTTTGTATTATGAATTTTTTAATATATATTATTTTGTAATCATCTAGTACTATTAAAAAGATCAAAAATTTTGGATTCACTTACAAATATAAAATTTAAAAACTTTTTTATCAATATGGGTTGATTATAAGGGATAATACATGTTCGAAAGAGTCTCAATCATTTAATACTGAACGTTCAAATATGTTGCAGACGATATGCTTGAACTCGATACATATAAGAATAACAATAATCTCTTTAATTACTAAGATCGTTTGATTCATACAATTTAAATGTTTTAGAAATATCTTCATTTTCTGTTATTAATATGAATTATTAGTTTTCATTAATCTATTTAGAATATAGAGATTAAGAATTCCAAATTTTGACCATGGGAAAATATTTTGTAAAAAATTTAAAAATAAAAAATATTCGGTTCACCATTAGCAAACTTTGTTTATTCCATTGAAGATCATGTGTACCCTGACATGAACCGGATATTCTTTTTCTTCTAGAATAGGAATAAAGCATAATATTCTGATGGAAGAAGACGATGAGAATAAAATAAAAACCGGATATTCTTCATTTTTATAATCATGTCCGGTTCGGTTCCGTTCCGTTCAACAAGATAAACGAGTTAGTTATAAAGATTATAATAATTTGGAAGCTAACTGCACTGCACTGCACCATAGGATTACCTGGGTTTCACTTTCACCAAACATCAAATTTCTTTTCTTTTGCCAGTCATTGTCCTCCAAAGGCTTTTTCGTCCCTTTATGAAAAGAAGCAAAAAGGTCCAGTAGTTTTATGCTTTTTAGGTACCAAATCGAATAAAAATAATGGACAGAATAAGGATGGATCGAAAGAGCCTCAGAGTGGTCGTATTCATAAATATTAAGTATTTTTTTATATTTTTATTAATAATATAATTTTGCATCTCTAAAATTTTACAATTTAGAGCAACAAAACGGGAGTCCTTTGTTCTTTTGGACTTTTTACAATGCGAAGTGTGTGCATCTTCGTTCTTTCATCGAGGTTGTTTGTAGAGTAGCTCCGACTCTAACTAGCAAAATGTTCGATGCACCTTAAGTTCGAGTTCTGAGCTTATTCTCCGAAATGGGATTCGGTTCAATTACACTCAAATCCAAAACTCAAAGACATGCATGCACACATGGAAACAAAAAATTTGGCTTAGTAGATGAAGGTCGCGTTCAAGGTTACATACCCTGATAGGCAAACTGAAGATCAAGCCAATAAGAGAAATCTAATATACAGAGTGAAACTAATAGTATGGAGTTTCATAATTTACATCTCAAAAACCCTTTGCTTCTTTTACACATAAGGATTATTGGTGCACATCGTAATCCTCGTATCGTACCACCGAGCAAGGTTTTTACCGTCCGCAGTTCGAGGTTCTACCAAGGGTTGGTTATTGTTCTTCTCAAGCATTGTCTTTTACTTCCCCAAGGTCTATTCACGTTCTCTAGCATCTGTTTGAATTAGGCAACGGAAGAGTGGAACAACATCAGGGTTACAATACTACCAACCAACTTCAATGAATATGCATATGCCATCATGCTAATGTTTTCGAGAAGTTTCACTTTCTTCAGGCTTTTCGACACTTCAAAGATCGAGTCTGTTGTTTGCCAATGCTAATGTAAATGCAAAGTGGGAATGGAAGAAAGCAACATTACCTGATTGTTCTGCATTTCCATCATCTCTTCCTGTACCAGCCAAAGAGAGTTAAGGTATGTCATCGACATCGACTTGACATTTTTGATACAAGGAATGTTATTCGGTTCGATAAGACAAACCTGTTTGTTCTGCAATTCTCGATTCATTTCTTTTAGTTTAGCAACCTCGGCCTCGAGTTCCAATGTATAGGCCTGCAAGAGACTCGGTATGGTTAATATGCAATCTAGTCTTGTACAATTGAACGGTACATGGCACTTGACACAACTCACCTGCTTTCGAGCTCGTGACCTGGCAGCTGACTCTCGGTTCTTAATCATTCTCCTTTGCCTTCTCTCAACTACTTTCTCCACAGCCGGGCTGCATTTACTTCCCTGGCCGAATGCGTAAGGAATTGGTGATTGCGGAGCCGATTGCAGCCCGGTTGATTGAGCCATATTACCATTCATACAAGGAGCAATCCCAAGTGTTTGTTGCTTGGGGAAAAGTGGTTGTTTCTGTGATGATGATTTGAATCCATTCATGTTCAATGGTAACCTCGGACCATTGTCATTCGAATTTGCCGGTCGAAACCCGAGAACCGAAGCAGAGTTGTTACCAATGAATCCATCATTGTTCGTCATTCCAATCCGTGCCTTCAACAAGAATTCATCCAGTGTCATCGCCCCGAAAGTCGGTTCCCTCATCGGCGAATTCATTTCTCCATCTTTAGCACCATCGGTTTCTTTCATCAAGTATTTCCATACTTCATCAACCGTCTTCGAACCCAGAGTCCTAGACAACGTTAACGATCCTTGTTTCTGCAAATTCGAAGGAACCGAAGCCACCGCAGCGGCGGCCTGATTCTCATCAGCTGTCGAGATATTCCTCAGCAGTTCATCCATGCTCATTGATCCAAGGTCCTTCCCAAGTCCACCAAAGGTGTTCTGCAACTCGTCAAAGGTCAATGAGTATATAGATGACTGCCTAGCCAATGGGAAATCGCCACCTGGCTTCGATCCGTTTCCTTCCATGCTTGGACCACCATCACCAGAGTTGTTGAAATTCAGACGAGACCCCATTCTTTTCCACAAATTTACCCAGTAAATCCATCAACTGAAGTTATCAAACTAGCAAGAGCATCTGACTCTGACCCATCTATGGGAACCCATAAAGACTACAACTTTAACAAAATGGTAGAAAATATACAATCATACACAGAAACAAACGATTTCTCCTGCAAATCCATCCAATTTATGCAGATGATTTGCTGGACGAATACATTTTTGTGTCTTTTTTCTCGAGAAAGAAACACCCAGATCCAAGAAATTCAATCCTGGAGCTAGAAAACCAATCAACACTTAACAAATGTGAAACAGCTATTTCCTATAAAACAACCCAAAATTCAAAAGCTTTAACGGAATCTAAAACTAACCCCATTTTTCAACCTTAAAAGCTATCAAGTGACAACAATTCAACGAAAATAAAAGAGATGAAATTTAAATTTCTTTATAAAAATAAGAAGCTTCCACTTCAAAAATATCTATTTAACAAGTGACAACAATTCAACGAAAATAAAAGAGATGAAATTTAAATTTCTTTATAAAAAGAAGAAGCTTTCACTTCAAAAATATCTCTTTAACCCATTCAAATAGTTCCCTTAATTAAGCAAAATAAGCATAAGAAAAGGACAAGAGAGAGATGGAGACAGACAGTAAGCAATGATGATAGAGGAAAAAGAAAAAGTAGGCTGATTTTGTTTTTCCCTTTTGATTTTATTTTTGCTAAGAAAAATCGAGTTTAAAACAAAATTAAAAAAAACTTTGAAAATCGATAGAGAGCTTTTATGGGGAGAAAACAATTCTGGAGGGGAAATCGTTTAGCTTTGTGGAGAAGACAAGTGTCTACTGCCGCCTCTACACACGGTTGATATTTAAGGTGCTTTCCTCAGATTTTTGGTGGATTTTGCTGCCGGTCTAATTTCAATTTCATCCTTTACTCTATGGAAATTAAGAATATGGTCCTTCTATTTTGATTTGATTCTGGTATCTCGCAAAAGTTGAGAAATTAGTTCGATTGGATAACGCTGTATATTTGGATGAAAAAAATAACTAAAATTGACACATTCTAACTCAATCTTATACGATTAGATTTTATTTTGATATTTGGGCTCAAGGCAGACATAGGCGTGATTTGTAGACGAGGGGTTGAGATCAGTTAAAAGTTAAGTTTAAGATACAATAAATTTATCATTTGGCCATCCTTAACTATACTATTGTAGTTGGATTGCAAAGACTAAAATGAATAGTTTAGTCGTCATTTATATGTAAGGATGAATTAGTAAAAATCGATAATTGAAGAACTTACATGCAACAAATTAGCAAAGACGAGATTCTTAGTTTCTGTAAAGTTCAAGATCAGATTCTGATGAAGTTTGGTAGAGGGATTGATAGAGGGATGAGATTTAAATCATACATGTAATATAATATGGATGGATGAGATTGCTTTAGCATTGGAGATGGCGCAACGTGGACCAATGAAAGTCGGAATCTGATTTTTGACTTGAGGTCTACCGAATTCGTAAGAGAAACATGGGTACTTTCGAGCTGTCGAAATGATTTCCGACAAGGTGATCGGATTGCTGTGATTGCTTTGAGTTATAGGAATTTCCTTTCTTTTTTACAAAGACCTAAAAATGAGTAAAATTAAGAAAAACGATTAATATTACATAACCTTGATTCCTTTCTATTATAAAGTATGTAATTAATAAATCTTTAACATAAAATATTTAAATAATAATAAATATTTTTAACAAATACATATGGGAATAAATTAATTACCATTATTAAAAAGGTAAATATATATCTTGGTACTCAAAACTCTTTTCTATCTAATTATATACTTGAATTGTTTGAAATAACGTTAGTTGTTTTTATTATTACAAGATAATTACAAAATAATATATGTTTAGGATTTTTTTAAAATAAATTACAATGTATACATATACTGTAAATGTTGATGTGACCATTTTTTTTAATGAGTTTCTTTATTTAAAAGAAAATTCTAAATTTACGTTTACGACTTATTTTGGGAGAAATTGAATTTTTGATTAATTTGATTTGAAGTCGTAATCGACCTTTGTGTTAGGTAGATGAATATCTAACAATATCTTTTAAAATAATTTCAAGGAAAATATTTTAAAGGAAAAAATTGATCTATGTATTACAAAAAAAAATTTTTTAAAAATTCGGGAGTCGATTACGTGTGGGGAAGTGTCAACACCCTACAACGTCCAAAATTGGTACATTTATATTATGTATTGTCTAAGCAGTGAAATTTAAAATTTGAATTCGAAAATTAAATTATGATCTTTTTTATTTCTATGAATTTAAAAAAGGAGAGAATTTTTTATAAAACACTTGACTTGATAAACATAATTTAATTCACTCGGTTTTATTTAAGAAGGGTGTCCACTTACTATGTGAATTAATGAAAATTGAAACCGAATTATGCTGGATGCAATTCCATTAGCCTATGATGCAAGACAACAGTACCTTTAATTATTTTAAAAACGAGAAAACAAATGCATAATTTATTAATGCAACATAAATAAATGTCATGTGCAAAATGGATGAAATATCTAACAAATAAGTAAATAAAATAAAACTAAACGATGATGAATAAATAAAATAAAACTAAACAATGATAAATAAATAAATAAATGAACATATAACAAAATAAGGCCATTAGGACTAAAATGAACATATAACAAAATTAAAAGACCAAATCAAGAAGTCAAAGAACCTCAACTTGAGGATCATATTGCATTATATCAAAATAAGGCGGAGCTCTTACACTATTATCCCATAAAACCCAAACCCGGTTGCCCTAAATTCCTTAAACTACGTCGTTTTGGGTCAGATTTAAATATCTTTTTATAGAACTTGAGAGAACCCTAGCTCTCATTTTCCCCTCCTTGCACCGTTTCTCATCTCAAATCTGCTTTCTCTTTTTTTTATCTATTCACGGGTGGAGGAGAACCATCGCTCCATAGAACCGTTTATAGCCACGAACGGTGATCGGAGCTCACACAAGGCTCTCAAAATAACCATTCGGTACCCCCAAGTTCAAAACCAAGACCTAGTTTTCCTAGAACTAAACATAAAACCTTCAATTGAAGCACATCAATTCGGATCTTACTTGCTTTCTGGTAACCCTTAGGGTTTCAAATAGCGATCCGCTACTACGATAGTGCCTGAATTTCACGGTAGCACTGCCATCTGATATATCGGTACACCCACAATAACGTCCGTTACAATATCGCGCTATTGCCTCAATCGCGATAAAAATGAAATGACCAAAACTACGATTTGAAATCTTGCTTGTGACCAACCTAACTAATGAGTTCTCTCTCTCCTATTTATTTTTCATTTTTTTATTCTAAATGGTTCTTGATAAATTTATTTTTCTTTGCTTCTCTCTTTTCTTTTTCGATTTGTCATGTTTTCCTTTTTTTAAACTCCGCCTCCTAATCTACTCCTTGATTGCATGTTAAATGGAGGGTTTTCTGTTGAAGATGGGATGTTTGGTGAGAGTTGTTGACAGAGGTATGAGGGTTATGTTTGATTGGTTCGATTTGGGTAACACTTATGGAGTCAACGCCGGCTTGAGAGTCATCAGTGGCGAGAAGATGATTCCGACGTAGGTGGCTAACCATAATTTTGGGGTTAGCCAAAGTTTATTTAATGTTGGGTCAGTTGAGCTTGTATCTTGTAATCTATAAAAAAAAATATTAATAACATTAATATATTTAATTTTAAAACATTCAAACAAAAACGAGTGTTAACAAATGTAGTTGTTCGAACTTAAAACTGTAAGAGATATAAAAATCCTTTAACCATTAAGATCATTTTGTGAGTTTATTTAACATTGTTTTTTTTAATAAATCTGGAGTTTATACTATGTAGTATATGTTTAAAGACTATAAATCATCTGACAATAAACGTTTAAATTCTTGCATACAGGATGCACGAATTCGAGATTTTAAAGAATAACAATAATCTTTTAACCATTACAATTATTTGATTCGTGTTAATACTTAATTTTTAAATTAAAATAGGTAAAACAATAACTTTTGTCTTTATAGTAGACTTAATTTATCACTTTCACCGCTATAGTATTTTCACATCAATTTAACTCTCGAAGTTATTTAATTACTTCATTGTATACTTTACACCTAACTTTACGCCTAACTTAAAATACTAAACCATAACATCATAACATTTAAATAATAAATCATAAATCCTAAATTAGAAGTTTATAATTTAAGATTTTAAGTTAGTGATAATGTATAGAATGATACAATTAAACATTTTAAAAATTAAATTGATGTAAAAATACGATATGAGCGAATTAAAGTCGTTAAAATATTTTACTTCACAGTGTTATATGATCACATCACATCATATCATCACATGTGTGTGTATAAAATGCAAATCCTCATCTTGCTTTATGATGTCAGTGGAGTTGTAGAACATGGTATCAATAATAATGAGTAGAGGCAAATATTTAACCAACGATTAAATGTGGGGCTTTGACTCGTACAACGTGGGGGCCCATGATTCCTTCATTTGCACACCCACATCCTATCATGGAGGGCCCGTACGTATGTAATCTTAGTTTTGCACTTCATCGAGTAATTTGTATGTCCTCTTCCCTGTGTCCATCGTCCACCATATACTCATTGAGTTTAAGAAAATCTTGGAAGAGATAAAATTGTTGAATTTAAAAAGAATACAGACTTAAAAACTAAATTTATAAGTTAGTTAATAATAATAATAATAATACGATTATGATAGATGTGTATCTGTAAATATATTGAAAAAAAAATATTTGGCACTATATGAAAACTACTTGTTATTCTTATTAACATGTGTATTCTTGGAACCTATCGTTCTTCATTCTCCTCCTGAGGTTCGTTAATCTCTTACATGAAGACTGTCCAAATGTGGTCGATGATTAGTGAATCTTTGTTTAGTTTGTCTTGTTGGTAATATTAACTCTTTGTTATTCTTATTAATATATGTTTCTTTCCCTCCACCTAAGATTAGAGAGATTTTTAATGAGGCATGGATTAATAATAATAATCCTTGTATGATTTTGGCCTTAATGAAATCATACTTTTCGGGGGGAAATGACTTGCAGAAAGACAATACTATGATCAAATTTTTGGACTAACAATTTATCTAATTTCAACAAAATATAATCATATTAGACATTTAATCTAGAAAGGTGTAAGATTTTTTTAAATTTATTTAAATTTAAATTGATAAGATCTAGAATATTAGTATACCAAAATATTTAGAAAGATCTCTACTCTCCATTTATCTTCGTTCATGACCACATACAAATTATTATTGTTTATTGATGATCTATCATATAATAATCATTAAAAAGGACATATACCTACAAAATTATCGAACTTTAGAGCACATTGATAAGTTTTGAGTAAGCTTTTTGTAGATCGTGCTTACATGGTCATTTATCGCTGCAAAAACCCAAGGAATACGTGAGAAGATTTATGAGAAAGGAACGGGATAAAGCAACATTTGATCCTTGAATTTAGTATTCTTTTAAATTTGGTCCCCCTCTCTCTCTAGGGATGGCAATATGACCCGAACCCGACGGAGAAACCTGAAACCCGATCAAGTTCGGGTCGAGTCGGGTTGAATGATATCGGGTCGGGTATCGGGGATTTTTTTCGGGGATTTTTTCGGGTCGGGTTCGGGACAAGGTATCTCGCCCCGCCCCGATTATATATATATATATATATATTATTTTATATTAATTATATATATAATATTTTATATTTTTTATATTAATTATATATATAATATTTTATATTTTTTATATTAATTATATATAAAATATTTTCGGGTTCGGGTTCGGGTATAATATTTCGGGTCAGGTTCGGGACAAAAACAATCCCCGACGGGATGTCCCGATAAAAAAACCCGTCGGAGATCGGGTTGGGGGCGGGGATTCATTTCGGGTTTAGGGACGGGGCGAGCAAAACCCGCCCGAACCCGACCCGTTGCCATTCCTATCTCTCTCCCTTTTTGCACAATATCATAGTGCCGCTTCATCAAAAATGATCGAATATGGGAAAAGTTATCAAGTCCAGGAGCAAACGTGGACTAAAATGTTCAGGGTCTAATTTAAAAAAACTACTAAATTTAGGGACTAAATTTCACTTTATGCCAAAAGGAATTACAGGACCAGATCGCAATAATCGGACCCAGAAATGCACTTTCCAAAGAACAACTTTAAGTCACTCAGCCAATGTCCAGGCCCAATCCAAACCCTCCAAAATGTCTTCTTTTCCTAATAATTCTTAAACCCTAAGAGGCCTAACCTTCCTGCAACTCAGCTTTTCAGTCATCATTCGAAGTTACACTCATTTTGCTTAACATCTACATGTATGTTCAGGTACAATTATCTGAGTTTTTTTCTTTCTTTTTCTTTTCTTTGTTTATATTCAATTTAAAACTTTGGGTAGTCATGGGATTTTCATGAATGTTTTTGCATTTAGTTTAACGATACTTCGTTTTTTTGGAATACATGACTATCGAATCCAGAAAGCTATGGCTATTGAAATAGATTAGAGAAATGAGGGTGCATCTTTAAAACCGGAATTTTCTAATTAGATTTCATGGTGAATCATACAATCTATATTGGGTTATTGTTCCATGTTAATCATATATATATACATACACCTGGAATTAGGCGTTTTTTTGTTTCCTTATGCATTATCTATTTTACTCAGATTGGTGCCTACCTACAGAAGTAGGCATATATCCAGAAGTTTGCCATCGCTTCAAGCTCGTTGCACCTTGTTTTCAGCATCAGCATCAGCATCAGAGAACTTTTTGCAACATACATCAGATGGAGGCTCTGCACAGGGGATCGATTTCGACGGCCTATTCAAATCCTGCAACCGAGTGCACGGTGCTAAGCTCTTGCATGCCCTTGTTGTTGTTTCGGGGAAAGCTCAAAGTGTCTTTTTCTCTGGCAAGCTTGTTAATGTTTATGCTTACCTTGGTGATGTCTCATTCGCGCGTCGCACATTCGATCATATCCCCAACAAAGATGTTTATACCTGGAATTCAATGGTTTCAGCTTATGTTCGGACTGGTCATTTTCGGGAAGCTGTAGATTGCTTCTATCGGTTTTTCTTGACTTCTGGTCTTCAACCTGATTTCTACACTTTTGCTCCTGTGCTAAAAGCTTGTAAGAATCCACTTGATGGAATGAGGATACATTGCGTGGTACTAAAATTTGGATTTGAATGGGATGTATTTGTCACCGCTTCCTTGGTTCATATGTATACCAGGTTCGGAGCTTTCAGCTATGCTCGTAAATTGTTTGATGATATGCCGGTACGAGATATGGGTTGTTGGAATGCAATGATTTCCGGATACTGTCAAAATGGCAATGCTGCCGAGGCATTAGATGTTCTGAATGAGATGAGATTGGAAGGGGTAATAATGGATCCAGTTACTATTGTTAGCATTCTTCCAATTTGTGCACAATCAGATGATATTTTAAATGGAATGTTGATTCATGTATATGCTATAAAACGTGGGTTGGAGTTTGACTTGTTTGTGTCTAATGCTTTGATTAACATGTATGCCAAGTTCGTTAAGTTGGCAAATGCGCAGAAGGTTTTTGATAACATGGTAGTAAGGGATGTGGTCTCTTGGAACTCGATAATTGCTGCCTATGAGCAAAATGATTATCCGGACAGGGCACTAGCTTTATTCTACATGCAGCTTACTGGGATTAGTCCTGATCATCTTACGCTGGTGAGTCTATCTTCTATCGTTGCTCAATTAGGTGGTTCTCGGAGTGCTAAGTCCGTCCACGGATTTGTCATGAGGAGAGGTTGGATTCAGAAAGATGTCATCTCTGGAAATTCAGTGGTTGACATGTATGGTAAATTGGGTGACATCAACTCTGCACGTGCAGTTTTCGATGCCCAACCTGTTAAGGATGTGGTATCTTGGAACACTTTAATCACCGGTTATGCTCAAAATGGTTTGGCAAGTGAGGCTATCGAAGCATTCGACCTGATGCAAGAGTACAAGGAGGTGGCACCAAATCAAGCAACATGGGTCGGCATTTTACCTGCTTATTCTAGTGTAGGCGCCTTGCGACAAGGAATGAGAGTTCATGGGCTGTCAATTAAGACATCTCTATATTTTGATATCTTTGTGGGGACCTGCCTCATTGACATGTATGGGAAATGTGGAGAATTAGATGATGCTATGACCTTTTTCTACGAAGTACCCAAAATGAATTCTGTCCCCTGGAATGCCATAATATCTTGTCTCGGAATTCATGGGCATGCTGAGAAAGCTATTAAACTATTTAGAGTGATGCGAGAAGAGGGAGTGAAGCCGGACCACATAACTTTTGTATCTCTGCTCTCAGCTTGTAGCCATTCAGGTTTGGTCGAAGAGGGTCAGTGGTGCTTTAATGTGATGAAGGAAGAGTACGGGATTGAGCCTATTTTGAAGCATTATGGTTGCATGGTAGATATGTTTGGTCGTGCTGGGCTTCTCGAAATGGCATATAATTTTATAAAAAACATGCCAATAAAGCCAGATGCATCAGTTTGGGGTGCCCTTCTTGGTGCCTGTCGAATTCATGGAAATGTCGATTTGGGTGCCATTGCTTCCGAACGCTTGTTTGAAGTGGATTCAGAGAATGTCGGGTACTATGTTCTGTTGTCCAACATCTATGCAAATATCCAGAAATGGGAAGGAGTGGATAAAGTAAGAACACAAGCCAGAGATATGGGATTGAGGAAGACTCCTGGATGGAGCTCAATCGAGGCGAATAATAAGGTCGATATCTTTTACACCGGAAATCAAAGCCATCCAAAATGTGAGGAGATATACAAGGAGTTGAGGAGTTTGAATGCTAAAATGAAAAGCCTAGGCTATGTTCCGGACTACAGTTTTGTTTTGCAGGATGTTGAAGACGATGAGAAGGAGCATATCCTTATGAGCCATAGTGAGAGATTGGCGATTGCATTCGGAGTTCTTAACACCCCTCCTAAAACTCCAATCCGAATATTCAAGAACCTGAGAGTGTGTGGTGATTGCCACAATGCAACCAAATACATATCTAAAATAACTGAGCGAGAGATCGTCGTGCGGGATTCAAACCGTTTTCATCATTTCATAGACGGGGTTTGCTCTTGCGGTGACTACTGGTAACGTGAATCAACAATGAGGAATTACACTTTATATACGTGAGCAGTCGAGCCGGGGCTCGGGTTGATTATCAGTTAACCATGCATCCGGAACGAGTTGCACTTTCGAATTTGCTAACTGATCTGGCTTAGTCAAAGAGTTCATTCTTTGCCATTTCTGAAGTACAAATACTCCTTTGTGTTTTCTTTCTGGTCCATGCCGTTCATCTTTACGTGTCGTGTTCGTGTATAGATTGCGAAACATTTGTGTATTCGTGTCGTGTTTGTGTTAGAATTTCAAGTCGAGTCCGGTCGGAGTGATTCGGCCACTGGAATTGTGCCAGAATGGAAGGAATGTCAGGGGGTCCACGTTCTTATCTGGACTCAAGCCAACATGGAAACTGGAAAAAAGGGATCATACGTAGTTGAGTTGAATTTATTAGTCCCAAGTCTTCCTAATTGCCAGCTTCGTTCATTCATCATTATTGTTATGCGCATGAATAATTCAAATAATGAATTATTGACAATTAAAATTCACGTTGATTTTAAATTAACTGCATATTAATTATAACAATTATTATTTAAATCTATATTTAAAAATGTGAAAAATAATTAAAAATAGATTAATATATTATTTAGTATGGAATTTGATATATATGATGTTTCCACTTTAATATGCCCAGGGCCATTTTTTTGTAGTTTTATCTAAGGGCCATTTAAATGCGCTTAAATATGTAAATGAAATAAAATTTAAATAATTTAGCTATTATATTAAAAAACCTCAAATTTATAAATAATTATAAATTGATCATTAATTGACAGCTTTACCCATGCGGCCATAAATGATTAATTGGCCTTTTATAATCTAGAGTGGATCCACATTGCGTACCAACCCCAACAAATTTGATGATCTTGCAACATAACGCCCCCAAAGAAGTAAAATAGTATAAAAAGATCCCCTCCCCTCCCCTCTAACCCCCAGAACTGTTAGACCATATACGTGATTTAGTCCTCAACTTATATAATTTTCTACTTTGGTACGTAAAATTTTTACTCACTTTGTACTTAGGCTATCATTTCATTCCAATTTATTAAAAAACTAATGGTGCCCAATACGAATGCGCCACATTTCACGTTCGTCTTAGATTTTTCTTCTGCTAAAAACAGTTAAAATAGGGATTGAATTGAGAAAATAGATATAACTCAAAGGCTAAGTCGTTTATAAACCCAAAATGTTTACATCAACAATAAACAACATCCGGACATTATCCTATATAGATATGCGTACACTTTGAGACGCGAGGTAACTCTTCAAAAGAAACGTCCCAAAATCTCCTCCTTTGCTCCCACGACACCGAAAAATCTTAGCCGCCGTGAAAACACCGTCCGACGACGGCTCTGAACTCGATGCCGAGACGTTATCGGCCTCTGCCTCCGCCACCTCCTCTGCAACAATCACGGCCTTTGTACAAGCAACGTTCGTGGTCTCCTGACGTGGAGCGAGACGAAGCGTGGCTGAGGAGGAAGGAAAGCCACGGCAGCAGCCTCCGCCGATCTCAGAGCTTCTCGAACGACGATTTGGAGGAGCTTAAAGGCTGTATCGAGTTAGGTTTCGGTTTCGAAACGGACTCGCCTGAACTGGATCCGAAGCTATCGGATAATTTACCCGCTTTGCTGTTTTACTGTGCCGTCAATCGTCAGTATAGCTGTAGATTGCCGCCGACTTCGTTCGCAACTCCGATAGGTTCTTGCTGTGAATCTTGCAACACTAGCAACATAATTGATCAATGTAAGTTTTAAGATTAAACTGGTTTTTCTTATTAAATTTAATTAATTATATCAAAACCGGATTCCTAATTGTTTGATTTGATAATTTTTTGAAATAGGCGACGATCCTGAGACGGTTAAGACTAGGTTGCGACAATGGGCGCAGGGGGTGGCTTGTTCGGTGCAGCAATTTTCAGGGAGTCCGAATTTATAGTGGCGTTTTCTTTTTTCCTGTAAAAAAATGATAACGGAATTTGATGTAATTAATATCGTTTGGTTTAACTTTTAATTTCTCAAATTCAATTTTGCTTGTTGTAATGTTGCTTTTGGTTTCCGATCATTTTGCCTCGTCATTTCTGATATATTTAAACAAATGGTAAATTTCAAATTTTAATTTTTTTCTTATTTCACTTAACTTTAAAACGTTTTAATTTAATCATAAAATTTTTGAATTGTTCATATTTAAATGATACGAAAATATTGTTATTTTGAAAAAAAATTAATTTTATATCAAAATAATATAATTTGTAAATTTATATTTCATCTTCTTTTTGTATTTTTTTCTTTCAATCTTTCTAAAATTTAATCATCAATTTGTCACATCGGCAACCGTTGATCATCATTAAAAGTGATTAATGAAGCTTACTTTTTTTTATCAAACTCATTGTGTTTCTAATCACGAATTCGATATCCGTTTAAGAAAAAATCATCTAAACTTTATAAATCTATCATTAAATATGTTAGTTTTTTTTACCGTTCATTGTTGGATCGTACATATTTTAAAGTATGTATTTTTTGTTGTCTTCTTCGTCCTGTGACCGCTGAAATCGTCTAACAATCCAGAGAAACTTTATGAAAGCCAAACAATAGACTATCAAATTATAACCCTCCTTGCTTCATCCATAACTTTACCAAAATCAACACTTTTGGATCATCACCACCATCAACTACAAAGAGTGTTTCAACCAAAATATATTGATTTATTGCCCAGTTCTGAAAATCATATAAATCATTCTATAATTAGTAATTTTTGGTTTACCAAAAAAAATGGTATTAATATTTGTAGTAGTAAGTTACAAAACTTTAATTCTTACTTTCTCTACTGTTTTGCTTCTATTAAAATTCAATGGTCTGCAACATGATTATTTGTAATTCAAAATAGAAATCTTCATTGATTTTTGTTCTGAGAAAACAATGTCCTAAAAAATATCAGTGAATTTGATGTTAAACCATATTCGGTTAAGTAGTTAAGTGTAGAGGTTAATCGGTTGTAGTCAGTTGTAACTAACTATGCAGCAGCTCATTGGAGGCTTTAAATAGCTGCTTAGCCTGTGTAATTCGTATCGTGAAATGCATTCATAGCCAATTTAATCTTTTCTTGCCTTTCTCTCTAAGATACTTCTGTAGTTAGCATGGTATCATTCACCTTTTAGATCCTGAAACGGTTTTGTTGTGTTTTCTCTTCTTTTCTTCTTCTTGCCTTATGGATCTTGGATTCTTGTTTCTTCGAGAGAGGTCATGGTGCAAGGCATGTCGATAATAACTGAGGATGAGCAGTTGATAGAAGCTAGCTTACATACCTTTGCTAATAAAAGAATCAATGCGTGCTTAACTGATTGGAACTATCTCCTATGGAAGTAGCAAGTGATTCTCACAATCAGAGGGCTTGGACTTGAAGGTTTTCTTGATGAATCCATGGTGGTTCCGATGAAGTTGGTTCTTAACGATGCTGGTGAGCAAGTTATTAATCCAACCTATCTTCTTTATGTCAAGCAAGATAACTCTTTGGCTTCTTTCTACAGCCAGTGCCAATATTCTATCTTAGTTGGTTGGTGTTGAATCCACAACTGAAGTCTGGAATGCTATCACCAGGCTATATTCCAAGTTGTCTACCATAAAAATAATGGCCTTGCATTGTCGCCTTAGACCAATAAAGAAAGGCTCTCACTATATGGGAGACTACACCATGGCTATTAAAGAAATATGTGATCTTTTAGCCACGTGTGGTAACCTTATTTTAGATATTGATCACATCACCACAATTCTTAATGGTCTGCCAGTTGAATATGAACCAACGGTTGCTATGATCACTGCGAGCATAAAGCTATTTGCCCTCGATAATGTGGTATCGGTTCTTATTGATGCTGAGTCACGCCTTGATGACTCATCGAGGTTTCTAATAGGGGTAAATTTCACACGCTACAACACTAACCAGGTCTTGGATACTCAACACTACAAGAATTGTAGGACTTCTAAATCTAAGAATACCACCAGTAACAAGTACAATGGGAGACCTAAGTAGCAGTGTCAACTGTGTGGAAAGCTAGGTCATCTAGTTGACAAGTGCTGGCATAGATTTGATCAAAACTTCAAAGGTGTAACTGCTCAACAAAGCTCATCGACTAATGACATGTAAGCAAACACTTGTTCATGTTTTCCTCATACATCTGACTATCATTGCAATCCTCTTGTAAGTGCCAGTGCAGGAGATGAAGATTGCACTGTCATTGAGCCAAGTGATAATGTGCAAGTTAATGCATTAATGGCTGATGGTCCTTTGACCTATGGAAAATGGTTCCATGATTTAGGAGCCACGCATCATGTGACTAGCACCACCTCTACAATCTCGAGCAGACAAGCTTACACTGGCAGTGGTAAGGTTTATTTAGGAGATGGTTTCATTATTCCAATTACTTATATTGGTAGAAAAGTTTTAAAAACTACCTCTAGGGATCTTTTGCTTGATCAGATGCTATATGTTCCAAAACTTAATAAGAATCTCTTGTCAGTTTCAAAATATACTCAAGATAATTCAGTTTATTTTGAGTTTCATGGAAGTGTTTGTTATGTTAAGGATGAAAGCACATGAGTCGTGCTGGTAGAAGGAAAGCTCGATGGAGGGTTGTACAACTTTGACTGCCAAACTCTGCAAGAAACAACAATAGTAAACAACATTGTTGTTAAAGATGCCAATGAGTACTGGTTGTGGAATAAAAGGTTAGGTCATCCAGCAGCTGAGGTGGTGATGTCTACCCTTATTAAAATACATAATGTAGATAGAAGTGAAGTTTATGCAGCCTGTCAGAAGGGAAAAAACAAAGCTCGGCCCTTTTATGTGTCACAAACTGTGTACAAACAACCATTTGAGTTAATAGAAGTTGATGTAAGGGGCCATGCTCCTATTGTTTCTATTGGTTTTAGATACTTTGTGAGTTTTATAGATATGTACTCAAGGAACAGTTGGGTTTATCTGTTAAGAAATAAAAAGTGAGGTTTTTGTTTCTTTCGAAATATTTGTTGCCTTAGTTTCAAATCAATTTAAAACGTCTATCCTTGCATTACAAACAGACAATGGAGGAGAGTTTCGGTTCTTGGAGGCTGTCTCACATAGACTTGGTGTTAAGCTCAGGAAATCGTGTCCACATACCTCACAACAAAATGGGGTGGTGGAAAGGAAACATAGATACATACTAGAAACTGCCTTAGCCCTACTAGCACAAGCTTCAAAGCCTTTAACATTCTAGTCTCATGCGGTTCTCAGTGTAATGTATCTCATCAACAGGATGCCTTCCAAGATTCTTGGTAATATCTCTCCCTATCAAAAGTTATATGATAAGCCTTATGATTACAGTTTTTCAAAGTCT